TTCAGAGCAGGGGTTCTCTGTAGCTGGAGCGTTAGGATGTCTTGCTACCTAATTGCTTTAGAATATGTGGGCTTGAGTGAGTCCTTTTTAATGAATAATAGGCAAATGCAAAAATGGCAAACCCCAAGCACCCAGACGGTGAAACACACACTAATGAAGACCTGACTTGGCTGGCAGGTGTGGAGCTGATTTGTAAAACAGACCACACCAGTTTTGAGGTGATATCTGTGAAAAGAAGCAAACCCTGTGCGTGCTGCCCTCGCCTCTGCTCCCTGCTCCTGCCATCCCTGCTCCTGCCATCCCCCATGGCAGTGCCTGCTGCCACTGCCTGTAAGGGACAGAGGGACCAGCTGCCCCCTGTCTGCCCTCCCAGTGCACTGGCAGGGAGGAAAACAGCGCTCCCCCTTCCTCTCTGCCCTCCCAGCCCCAAACCCTGACCCTGCTGGTGGTGCCACGAGTGGGCTGGAGCTCCCTGGCTTTGTGAGTGTGGAGATTATCTGGAGATTCACCCGGCGCTGATCCAATGAACCAACGCAGCCTTACAAAGCTGGAGGGAAGGGTGCACAGTTCTCTTTGCAATAAATCACATGGCGTGAAAAAGGATTTCTTTAGCTCCTTTTCTCCATTATTCTCCGTATCTCACCTTGTGGAAATGGGTCTGTAAGGGAGAGATTTAGGCTCACATGGCAGGAAAAACGAGCAGGGCAGGGGGAACTGAAGGTAAAGGAAGGCAGAGTTCCTGGAGGTTTCTATAACTTGGAGATTCCAGGAAGAAGAGATTCTTTCTTCTTCCTGAAAGAATAGGAAGAAGCCCTGAAAAATAAGCCCAGCATGGGCCTTAGTACTAAATCCTTCCTCAGGATGTTGTCACTAAAGCAGCTGCATAAGAAATCCTTAAAAGCAGTGATGAGTCCAGTCCCAGAGAGGGTTTCTGTCCAGAGAACTGCCCAGCAAGCTGGGTGCTGGTCTGAACATCTTTGGTTTTACTGAGTTGAGCTGGTAACCTCTTCAGATCTGGCTGCCTCCCAAGTAGGGAGGGATGAATACTGCAAAATGTTTCAGTTTCCAGTGCAATTTTGAAACTCATTTGCTTTGACTGAATTTGCACTGTGTTTATGTAAATTTATAAACACTGTAATAAATTTATCTACTTACAGAAAAGAGAAATTTTAGGAAAAGGCTGCAAAACATTGGTGAAACACAAATTCTAATTCAACAAGAATATTCACAGAACCTGATTTAAATGAACATTCAGTCACGAAGCAGAAGCACAGCATGTGGTCTGTATATCTAGCAAACTATGGCAAGCATAATCCAAAATTCAAACAATGGTTATCAGCTTAAATGCTTTAAATTAAATACATGTCATTGTTTCCTGCAATGACTATGTGACCAAATCCTAGGTTTTTACAGTGGGAATGAAGACCAAGATCAGGTAATAGGTGCAGGTTGCTGGTTTGCTTGTAGCTATCTATTCTGACTGTGTTTTTTCCTAACCTGGGAGGGTCTGTGCCAGCACCTCATTCTCATCAGGGTCTGTGGGATTGTGACCTGCCACATTCATAAGAGCATTCATGGGCATGGTCAGTAATGCTCTTGGATTGGGATATCCTCTAGTGCCTCACTAATTTGGAAGCTGGTTTTGTCTTCCTTTGTACCTCTTGGAGTCTGTAATGTTTCCTGATTTTTTGTCTTCTGGGTCCCCCTTCTAAGAGCATCCTTAAGCAGTTCTTTGATATAATTTAGGGTTTTTTTCCCCCTTGTTAATTTTATGCTGAACACATTAGTTTATTTACAGCACAAAATAAATCTAATCTGCATAGGGCAGATTTGGAGGCACTTTCTATATTAGGGGAACACTTAGAGCCATGTGAGGAAGTTCATTGATGCAGATGACAACTCTTGCCCCCTGAGTAAAAGAACTGGTCTCAAATATTGAGAGGTTATGTATTATTTTAGGAGGACACACTTGTTTCCCACCATGGAGATGCTCTTCCCAGAGCATATCTGTATTTCTACTTTGCCTACCCAGTGTTTGAAGCAGCAGGCAAAGAGTTAAGCAGTGGAACCAGCAGCAAAGTGCTCCAGAAATTAGCTGGTTTAAGACAGGGAGGACGAATTAAAAAACAGTGCAAGATGCAATTTTAAAGTTATCCTGTTGAAGCTCTTGCATTGGAGGCATTAGCCATGAGGGAGATGACATCAGCTGGGAGCAAGATAATAAAATGAATGCAGGATCTGTAATGGGCACGTGGGAGACGCTCGCCGTGTGTTTTGGCCATGTCCTGATATACGTGAGCTCTGGGAGACAGCTCTACATGTAATGGAGTCAATAATCAAATCTGAAGTACCAAGGAACACAACTTGATGTTTCCTTAGAGAGGCCACAAGTTTGCAGCAGATGAATAAAGAGAGGCTGCGGTAGATACAAATTTGTCTTTAGGCAAAAAGGAAAGAAAAAAGACTTGAAAAGTGGAGGCGGGGAGGAAATATTACACTGTTTCCAGACTGGAGAGAAATAGTAATGCCTACATCAGAAAGTTAATTAATTGTTGTTACATTGATAAATATGTGATATACCACATCAAAGACTAGCTAAATGATATTTGGAAATTAATTTGGATTCCTATTAAACAGAGCTCAGAGGAGCTTCCCAAATGAATAACTTGTTTGTTAAGCATTGCTTCCTTCTGTTTATAAAGTCTTTTCAAGTAAAGACAACTATTTTCAACTGTTCTTGTTGTTTTAAATGAACTACGAGATTCATCTCTTACCAGACATTCCTGACACATCCAAATACTGCAAATTGCAATGTCTTACTTAGGATCTTATAAAAATTAGGTATTGCTTACCTCTTTTCTCTATGGGGATGACTTAGATAAAGTTATCCCAAAAGTCCCAACCCCCAAATTTAATATTGATGGTGTGCTCATTTTCTCTAGTGTTAAATATTATTAAAAGAAAATGTAAATGTGACATATTAACTATATAAATATAGGTTCAGATTCTGAGCTCTTAAGAAAGTTTTTCTACAGTAAGGATGTTGTTTTCTTGGAAACTGTGCCAAAATACAGTAAAACTCGTGGCAGTTTCTGCTTTTATTAAATGAAAAACTCATTCTTCTCATTCTGCTCTTCTGCCAGTCTTATCCTGGTCTAATTCCACCTACGTCTCTGGAAGTACTTCAGGTTTTTATTAATGTCTATGAGTTCAAAAGCAGATAGGATTTAGTAGAGCTGAGTGCAGAGAGTTTACATGCAGACAAAGAGAAGAGAGAAATCTGACACAATATGCTGTACAGTGGGATGGCAGCAACTTTCTGAGTTGTCTGTGGAATTGTAATTGTTTAAAATGTCCAGGAAAAAAAAATCCATCTGGTTTCTATACGAGCAGAGAAGTGGCTACCACGACAAGGAGGTGGCTTCTGCTCCCCAGCAAGCCCCCAGGGCAGCAGTGATGGAGCTGCAGAGCTGCACTTGGGTGTTTGAGCTGCCAGAGAGCTGATGGGTGGGTTGTGTCAGCCCAAGGAGCAAAGCAGCTCCTGCTTGCTTAGATACCCATAGGAATTTTTACAAAAGAATGTCACATTAATTTTGTATCCTTTGGTTCATAGGAAAACATTTATTCATCAGGTTTGGAAATGAATTTCATCCTCTGGTTTACTCCCCTCACTTTTTTAAGTATTTCACCTCTGTTAGTTTTATTTTCCTTTCTCTTTGCCAATTAAACCTATATTTTGGGTCTTCAGATTCTTAGATTTTTTTTTTTAATTTTTTTTTTTTGGTCAGAGGATAGCACTGCAGGAGTGAATCTCTTGTTTGCATAGGTGTGTTTAAAAGATTAAGGCTGAACAGACATTCTTGTAATAGACATGGGATCAATGAAAGCTCTTCTTTTCTCAAGAAGCTTTAAGGCTTAGCAGCAAGGTTGATTTTTTTTGTTTGTTTGTTTTAACTGTAGAAGAAGTTGCATCTCTACCTGGGCTTCTATTATTTGTATGATCTTCTACAGAATTCCTGAGCAAGAATTTACCCAACCCATCCCAAGCTTAGCTTGAGATGACACAGTTCTCTTCCTGCCTGTATCAGTAGCCAAATGTTTTCTAGGTGGTCTTTGCAGCAGGCAAGGGACCTGATTTCCTCCTTCCCCTACTTGTGCCACTTCCAGCTTTCTAATTTCTTTTTCAAATTTCAAATTTTCAATTTTAGTGCTCACTCTTATTGGCAGCCTCCTGAGTTTCAGTGAGGCCTCACAAAGAATTTGGATGGTACTCTTTGGGGCTGTGAGCAGGACAATCCAAGTCAGGACAGTGTCCTGGGAGGGATCTGAGCCAGGGCAGGAAGGAGAAGCCAAGGTGGCATCCATGCTCCAATGCCTACAGGGTGTGATGGCCAATCAGCATTTTAACTTGTTGGTTTGGGTGGCCAACTTTTGTGTAGGCAATTGCAGGAGGGGAAGAGACAGAGGCCCTGGGTTAGTGGAACAATGACATTCATGCTTTAAATCCCTTAAGCACAAAACTAATGGGCATTGATTACAACGCTCTGAAGAGCCCTGCTGAGTCAGAGCCTGGCTGAGGACAGGCCGAAGGTCCAGTTTGGTGGTGCAGTGTGTGAATCACCCTCACAGCTGCCCACCCTCAGCCAGAGCTCCAAAGAGAAGGGAACCCCAAGGTCAGGCAAGGCTGCTCCAGGGCCAGCCTGCCAGACTGGGAAAAGGCAAAGGATGCAGTGAGCACAGGCTGTGGAGGGGAAGGAGGCTGCATGCCAGAGCTGTTCCTGTTGATATTCTGCTGGCCATGTTATTTCTGAAAGGTGCCATTGCTGCAGGCTCTCCTCAGGGGAGGGTTTGCTTTGTTTCCCCCAAGAGAACAACATTTAACTACTTCAGCCACAGAATATAACCCTAATTCTGCAGCAGATCTGAGGAGAGGCCACAGCCCTGCCAAGTCTATGTCTGGTTCTTTAGTGTCTGTTTTTTGTGTGTGTGTGTGTGTGCAGGTGCTCCCTGCTGGGCTTCGATCTGAACCGGCACTGGGCCAATCCCTCTCAGTGGGCTCACCCCACCCTGCACGGAGTGAAGGAGCTCATCATCGACATGTACAACAACCCGGTGAGTGGGCACAGAGCTGCTGAGCCCCCCTTGTGCTGGGGGAGCCACCCCTCCACTGCAGGAGATCAGGGAACAGCTGGGCCTTTGCCACAGGAAGCACCAGAAGTGGGGAAAGCGCGCGGAGTGATGTTCAGCTCAGATTAACTATGAAATAATTCTGAAAGCTGGGCCTGAATTCAGTTGAGCTGCTCTGAGCAGGATTCAAAACAGCAGGCCCCCCAAATTGAATTAGGGAATGGCAGCAAGGCTTAATCCGGGGCTCTGGTGGTGGTGGCTGTGTGGTGTGCAGGGCAGGAGGGGGAGAATGTTTGCAAATATTTTATAAAGACACATGAACACACTCATGCTCACTCAGAGAGGCAGAGGTGTTCTTGAAGGTGAAATCTTAGCTAATCAGAGGAGATGGATTGAGGAGAATATGGAGAAGAGGAGTGGGAGGGAGGCAGACAGCTATTGAATGTTTGACATCAAAGCGCGGAAGGATTATTGAACGTGGCACCTAAGAAAAACTGCTGGGAAAAAAAAATGGATATGGGTAGGAAAAAATCACTACCAAAAAATAAGAGGAGATTTTATAGATTATTATTTTTTTCATTATAGGATTCCTGGTATTTGTTTTTTCTTTTTGCTTCTCACAATGGAGAGGGAATTTGAATCTTTAGGTCCCTGAAGTTTTGCTAATTTTTCCTTTTGTTTTTTCTTTCTTTCCTTTTTGTTTCTGGGAAAAAGAACCTGGCTACCCTTGCTAATAAAGAAAGAGGATTCTTACCCCTGGCTACATCATGTAGAGGATAAGACCTCCTTTAATTTAACTCCTGGCTTTCCCAATACATCTTAATTAGACTTTTTATCTCCAGTAATACCTGTACAGAGGAGTTTTTAGGTACAAGGAAGATAGGTTAATAGATAAGATCATTACATATGGACTGGAATCCAATTGCATGAAAAATATTTTTCTTAGCCCACTAATTGTTTGGCACAGAATTTGTCTTTCTATTCAGTTTCTGCAGCACCTTGCACTGTGCATTGTGCCTCTGACCAAGGCTCCTGAGCTCTATTAAAGCGATGATGATAATGATGGAAAGGCACAGAAAGGAGCTTTGGAGCCAGCCTGGTCTTTCCTCTGTTTTCTACCCCAAACAGCAAGATAATTTTTGTTCTAGATAATGGAGTGAGCATGCAGATTGCTTTAAGAAGAGGTTTTTTCCAAGAATGAAGAGGTCTTTAAACATTACAAGAAAGCTGGATGTAGGGAAGTGCTTGTAGCCAGTAAGGCAACAAATCCTGGCAATATTAAAAGTCACTGTCAGTAAAGTAAAGCTATTCTTGGATACAGGGGGAAGTTCTTTTCAGCTTCATCCCATTCTAAGGAATCTTTGAAAATTCTGGTAGCTTCCAGCTGTCCTGTGTGTGAAGAATGAATTAATTTGCTTTGGTGACTAAAATGAAAAATCAAAAGAATTGTTTGGTGAGAGCTGATCTGAAATGGAAATTATTTTTTTTTCCTCCATCTTTCTGACTCCCACTCTCCCCAGTGATCAACCTGAGATGAACCAGTTCCAGTTCATTTCTTTATGAGGGAAAGAAAAGGGACCCTTTTAACCATTTAATTTTCAAGGTTATTTAATTTTTTTAAGTACTTTTTTAGAATTTTTTTTATTAAAGTCACAGCAAAGTTCAGGTTGCTGTTCAGAATTCCATTTCTTAGTGAATTAGCTACCCACCAAAAAAACCTTCTTGTCTGGCCTTGTCAACACCAGCCTTCCTGGCAGTATCAGGAATGCTCAACAATGCAATGCAGTATATGGGATTACTGTTATTTTCAGGAAATATCAGATTCTTAGTCCCTGTGATCCCAGTAATATTGGTATGAAAAGACCATACCCAAAGTGCTGGGACAAAAGGGGGAGGGAGACAAGCCAGGTGCCATGGTACTGTCCATGCACCATCCCATTTAGCAGTGACTGCTTTTATTAAGACAGAGTGCCAGAATAAAACCTGCTTTGAATCCCTTCAGGCAGCTAAAAATTTTAGGTGCTTTTCAGGGGTAGAATGTTACTTTGAGATGACATGATGGATGGCTGGCTGCATGCACAGGTGACCTGCTGCAGGAGAGCTGGTGTCAAACTGTGTCACATCAGGCATTTTGTGTTTGAACACATCTGTCCTGCCACCCTCTCCCCATCTAAAGTCTTCCCACACTGGGGGAAAATGAAGTGAAATGCAAAACCCAATTCCCTGAGAAATTATGTAATAAAAAAATAAAAACCTTCATCCCTCCCATTGCAGACAAGATCTGCTGTGAAGGGCTGTCCACAGAAGACTGGATTGTTTAAAGCAAGGGGAAGTTTGGCTTCATGTTGGCATTGCATAACAGCTCAGTGCAGGACTTTTAGATGTATTCATTCCCTTAAATCACTTAAGGAAAATTAGCTGCCATAAGACCATAAAACCATGTTTTAAATATTGCTGCATAGGAGGATTTTTCCTCAGCTCTGCAGTATGGGAGATAAGCTCTTTCCTTTGAAAAAAAGTTCATTCTGGAGCAGGGAGGATGAGTGACACAGAAATAAGTGAAGTGGGTATGAGGCACATGCACAATGCCACAGCTACAGTGATTCCAGCACTGAGTGTTCCAAGGCTGAGTGTTTGCTGTAGGTCCTGTATAAAAATAATCCAAAGCACTTGTGGTTCACTGTTCTTCTGGGTTTTACGAAGTGTGCTTATTTTATTTTCTTTTTAAAGTGTTTCAGATTCCTTAAGGACCATATTGCCCTTGGGAGGGAATGAGAAATGAGAAACAATAGGAAGCTTTTGATCTCCATTCCACTGATTTTGACACAGTAACTCTGATGATCAGTGCCATCATGTTGACCTGCATGGAGTGAGGGGATGTTCTCAGCTGTTTCTAGTGGTATCAGTCTTGCAGATGAGACTGAAGTGATAGTCTCCTCTAGATATGTGCTGCTGGCTGGGGATATTTCTGTTCCCAAGCCCTTTGCCTGCCCATACACGAGCAAGCAATGTCTTCCCACCACTCCACCAGATGATACCTGTTGATGGTTTCCCTGTCTGTGCTGGAGCAGGTAGCAGAATGATCTCAGAGCATGAATATATTGTTTAAACCAACATGTTTGCAGTTTGTTAAAGCATGTTCATGTGAGCCATTCCAGCACCCTTTAAAAACAGATTTAGTGAGTGCACTTTCTGCCAGCTCAGCCCCCTTGCCATGAGCATTGTGATATGGCCTTTTCTCTCAGGGGCTGCTGTTATTCTCCCTTCTAGACCTCTCCCTCACCGAGTTCTCCAAAGGAAAACTCCCACACACTAAGCAGCTACTCAGTGTTTTACCTTCAGTGTTCATTGTGCAGCCTTGTCCTGTGTTTACTGTGCCCTGTGCAGATCCTGCTCTGAAGATGGAACTGTTCATCTCCTCGTAGGCTCTTTTGTTCTGCTCACTGCTATACCCTGGGAGCACTACAGAACTGTGGATTATTTTGGGGGAGGGACCCCTGTGAGAGACAAATGTTTCATCCTTGTGTGGATAGGAAGCAGTTATGATCACACCTACTCATTGTGATAGATGGTTTAAGGTGCCTGGGATCAGATTTGTTTCCTGTCATTCAGCAAAGACTGATACCTTCACTGTCTGGTATCTACCCCTTGCTTCTGCAAGGAAGATTGGGATAGACAGTTTCTGTCCTTTGGTCCTCCTAGGACCTAAGAGACAAGGAATAGGCTGTGACTGACCATTTGGGATGAATCTGCTTCAAGTAATTTGCTCCTCCCAAGTGAAAATGCAGACACAGGGCTCCCAGGCACTCTCACTGCAACACTGGACTTTGTGTTCTTTCTTCTGTATTTCTTCTGTTCTGCCTGTTTTCCACCTCCTGTTGAATTGAAGCTGGAGTCCTACAAGCAAATGATTCCTTTTCTAGATGCTGTTCACCTTGTGCCCTGAGTGAGCCAGAGACCCATCCAAAACTGAAAAAAAACCAACTTACCACTTAAGGGATGTGCCCCTTAATTAGCATCTCCTTTGTCATGCACATATGTACTAAAATTTAAATTATTTCTGCAAAACTGACCTTTCTTTATCCATCCCTGACTTTGGAGTGCTTGAGGTCGCATACTTTTAATACTATTCTGGGTGAAAGTTTTCTATGCAAAATGAAAGTCCCAGCATGCTAAACTCTTGAGTCATCTGCTGGGCTGCAACCTTTAGATCCACCACACAGACATCTGCCACAAGGGCTGATGAATTAGCTGATAGAGGATGGCAATCTGCAATTGCTGAGGACAGGAAAGAGGGAGGGAAGGAGCCTGTGGGCTTTGGGGGTACCTGCTGACAGCAGCATTAGTAATAAGACAGGATGAGTAAACACAATACTGTAGGCATGGGGAGGGTTGCTATTTGAGGGTGACTGACAACTTTTATGTTTTTGAGGATTTTTTTTTTAAGATCCTGTGTGCAGGCTCAGATTTGAACAAAATCATAATTTTCCAATCTTCCTGTGTCTCTGAGGAGGCCCAGCTTTTGATGCAGGTAGGTTTGAGTGGGCAAGCAGTACAGGGGAATTAGGCTGGTAAGTCAATGTAACTGGATTCTTCAGCAGATGATGGTGTTCCTCTTCAGAAAGAGAATATATTTGCTTTCTTCCAAAGTTGTTAAACATACAGACCTCTGGGTTTGTGTTACCAGCTCTCCTCAGACCCTTCTTTAGAGGCTGATGGGTGTCCTCCTAGGGCTGAATACCCTCAGAACATCCCGCACCTCACTGCTGCAGGAAGACAGCAGAGAGAGCTTGTTCTGGGGAGAAAGGCCTGATCTCTGAGTTCCAGCTTGTGGCTGACAAGCCCTGATAACAGCAAACAGGTGAAGGTTGAGTGCTGTGTGGAGCAGGTGAGCTCCCAGATGAAGGGAACCACATTGTCTCCCTCGTCAGGGCTGCCTGTACTGTCCAGCCCAGCCCTGTGGTTTCTCTAGGTTTTCCCACTGC